TCGCAATTTCCAATCGTCATGATCATAAATTGATTAATTCCAAAAATAATCTTTTCCAAAATAGACTCCTTTAAAATCCCTTTTCCAAAAATTTACATTATAATTATTTAACATTATAATTATTCAAAACTAACCCATTTTCCAAAATAAATTCTTCTAACTTATTTATTATTATAATAATTCAAATTAAACCATTTTTTTAAAATAAACTCTTTTAAAAATTATTTCTCATAATGATAATTCTAATTAATCTAGAAAATATTAATTCATCATTTGAAATCATTTAATATCATCACCAACAAAAACTAATCATATTACAACACAAATAATTCACAACAGATCCAGAAATTGAATTGACGAGTCAAAAGGAGCGGGATCTTGCCTACGAGGCCAATGGGGCCTGATGACGAGCAGCGGGGCTGATGTGGACGCGGCGTGTGGCGATTGAGGCGACGTTGACAGCGGTTTGGATCTGGTTCAGGCACGGATGTTCAGTGTGGTCGTCGACGTCAAGTCGAAGGGGTTGATGTTTGCGAGCGGCTAAGGGCCGCTGTGGTGGCCGAAGGCGCTGCGGCGGTGGTGCTGCACGTGGCAGCCTGCTGGCCGTTGGCGACGAGCAACGGAAGCGCGTGAGGGGAGGAGGTTCGGCACGTTGCTGGAGCTCGGAGCGGCTGGCTGGTCGTCGGGAGCAAGTGGCTCAGCGGGCAAAGCTTGGTGGCGGCTTGCAAGCGTGGTGAGGGGCGGCGCGGGTCAAAAGGGAAGGAGGCGGTGGTCGGAGGGTTTCAGAGGGGAGGCGACGGTGGAAGAGGCAGGCGTGGAGGTGGTTCAGAGGGCTGAGGCGGCCGCTGTTGCGTGGCGGAGGTCGAGCGGCGAGGGGGGTCACGGGCGAGGGCAAAGGCAGGATCTGAGGCGGGTGAGCTGGGGTGCGATGGACGCTCGTGGGCTCAGGAGGGGCTGGCGGAACCGCGCTGAAAGCGGTTGAAGGCGGCTGACGGCGGCGCTGGGCGGAGGAGCAGCGGATGGGGCGCGGCTTGGAGAGTAGCTCGAGATCGAGCTCGGCTGTGGGCGTTATCGTCGGAGGACGGCGGTCAGCTGGGTTCGTCGGATTTGAGTTTGAACGGAGAGGAGGAAGAGGGAGAAGGGGATGAGCTGGTTGATTTGATTTGAAGAGAGAGAGAGAGTGTGAAGTGAATGGGAGAGAGAGATGAGATTATTTTAAAGAGAGAGAAAATAGCTCGTGAGTGAGAGAGAGAGAGAGCACGAGGGATTAAAAAAAGAAGGGGGAAACACGAGGAGGGAACTGCGGGAAATGAGGAGGAAATTAAGGAGTGGGTAAGGGAGAGAGAGAGAGATATAGAGTGATATACCAGTGAGCGGGAAAACGCAGGGAAAATACCCGTATAAAAAATACAAGAAAAATTATTCAAATAACTATTAAAAATTTATAGTCAAAATAATAATAACAATAATGAATAATTAACTATTAATTTAAAAAGTTTTACCGAACAGCTAAATTTATAATTAGCAAAACCGTTAAAATATTATAATATCGTATTTTTAAATCGTAGAAAATTAGGAAAAATACAAATACTCTTTTAGAAAAATAATATTTAATATTTAAATACCAGAAAAATTTATTCAAATCAAAATCGAAAATCACGGTCCTCACAATAATTGTCCATTCCTCTTCAGTTATTCCATAAGCACTACCAGAGCTAGAACTAGAAGCATAAAAATTTATAAAATCATTTATAATTTCTTTATATTCTATTGCTACAGATAACATTGCATAGGTGGAATTCCACCTATGGTCAACATCTTTTGGAATTAGTCTACGCTTATAATTTTTTCTTTTACAACATTGTTTCCATCTTTTAATTCTCATTTCAGAAGCATTATGCATATTAGTAACTGTTCTAACTTTTTCTATCATGGGTTTAATTTCAGAAAATGCACTTTGAACAATTAAATTTAAAATATGACAGATACATCTAACATGAAAAAGCTCACCATGACATGGCAATGACAAAGTTATTTTCAGAAAATCAACAGCTACATTATTATTACTTGCATTATCTAGTGAAATAGTAAATATTCTTTGATCAATTTCTAGTTGTCCAAGTTCTTCAACAATTAAATTTGCAACATTAATACCAGTGTGTGACTCTTCAATTGCAATAAAAGAAACAACTCTTTTAAACATTTTCCAACTTTCATCAATCCAGTGTGCTGTTATACATAAATAACCAGTTTGCACTCTAGATGACCAAATATCAGAAGTTAAAGAAAATTTGCAGTTTAAATTTTTAAAATAAGAAATTATTTTTCCCTGTTCCTCAACATAATATTTTAAAATATCACGTTGACAGGTTTGACGAGAAAATTTTGTAAATGCAGGATAAAAACCATCTCTAAACATATCTTCAAATTCATCATCTTCTACTAATTTAAAAGGAAGGTTTTTAAGAACAATAAACCTGATTACGCATTTCCGGGCTCGGGCAGCGTCATAATTCCAACTGCCGAGGGTACCTGAAGAGGATGATTGGGAAAGCATAGACTGCCGGATATCACCTTGTAGATTTTGGCCTTTGTTGTGTTTTTCAATATGCCGTTTGAGATGGTTGGTGCCGCTCTTATGATGAGCTTTGAATATCTGGCCGCACAACGCACATTTCGCATTCTGAGAGATGATCCTACCGTGTTCATCCTTGGTGACGTCTATCTTCTCAAAAAAATTCCATACATCAGACCTCGGCCTTTTTGGAGCTCTTGGTGCCGTAGATTCGTCGCCACCAGATTCAGGATTAACACCGGTAGGATGAGGAGTTGTTGTAGGAGGACTCATCTCTGGATCGGTAGGAGTTGCATGTTGCTCTTCATAATCAGACCCAGAAGCCATTTGTTGGAAGTATTAGAAAATACAAAAGATTATAGGATAGTATATTATTGTATAAGAGAGTAGTAGAGAGAGAAATAGATGAGTTTTGTTGTGAGAAAATGAATTGAAACCCCCCCTCTATTTATAGAAGCAGCCCCCTAGGTAAATGACCAAAAAACCCTCGAAAAATAGCCGTTTTTGACCGTTTTAAGGGGCAAAACGGTCAAAAGGCCAAATCTGGCCGTTAGGCCAGATTTGGCCCGGGCCGGGCCGGGCCAGCCCGGCCCGGCCCAACCCCTAGGTGTAGAGGGCCAAACATTGAAAACACAAACGTTATACCAATAAATAGGTTTAAGTGCATGATGATGAATTTTCAATAATCATAATTCATAAATTATTCTTTATTGTATTAACTTATGGTTTAATACAAACGATTAGTATGAGGGAATAAACTATAAGAATAAGAACCAAGTAAAATAAAATCTACTAAAAAGGAACTCAATCTTTTAAAGCAATTTTTCTAACAACTTAAACTCCCGAAAATTAAGGAGCCAAATTGGCCAAATTTGAATTAAAACTGACATTGTTTCTTAGGGGGTGTTTGGTTCAATTTCTACAAATTATAGGAAATGTTTTCCGTCTAAAATATGATTTTTTTGTATATCTTAAGAAAAACTATAGGAATTTGACAGACCTCCCCAACTTTTTTTTCGTAGGAGAATTTTTGTGTTTCCCCCCCTGACTGAATCCTAGTAGGGGTCGTATTTAGAGTTCGTATGCATCAGAGTACATGTTAATTGCAGGGATTTGACATTAGCTCGAAACCTGACCCTATTAGGATTCAGAAAACCCAACCAAAACCAAAATTCTCCCGTAGATTAATTCGTTTCACAGTCGACTTATAAATAAACGATTACCCTTCTCTTCCTCAAACGCTTCATCAACATCTCCTCGTAGCACTTCGCTTCTATTCGCATCTCTTTGTCGTCCTTCTTCCAACTCGACGGCGATCACCGTCATGGCTTCCGAAGAGAGTCCTCCGCTTTGCGCCATCGGTTGCGGGTTCTTCGGCAATCCTGCAACAAGCAATCTGTGCTCGAAGTGCTACAGAGACTTCGTTCTCGGGCAGACGCTGAAACCTCTGGCCGCCGCCGCGTCTCAGCCCGAGAGACACGACACCGGTATCCAAGCTGCGGTTTGCGGTCGTGGGTAGCGATATCCGTTGTAGGTGAGGGTCGACGGACTGCACGGCCCATATCGGTGACGTGAAGACGGAACGTCGGATCTGATGTGAGGTAGAACGCCCGCGGGACTACGTGTTCTATGGAGGAGGCGGGAGCCAAAAGCCCAAACGCGGGGCCGGCAGAGGAAAACAATTTGTAACGAAGAACGGGGCGTATCTCGCAAACCGTACGTCATCGGAGTTGGACGAAGTACACATGTAAATCGTGCGTTTTTTCGAACGGAGTCAACCAAACTCACTGTTGTTCGGTTTGCCACCGTCTGTTTTGCGAAATCCCCCCCGGATTGAGAGATATCTATGAGTTTTTCTTAGTTTTTTACTATTTTAGGAAATGTTTTACGAGTGTGTTTTGATTAGGAAATAAATCCGGTTTTATTTTAAATTAAACCGATTTGCTTCGCTATCCTAGGTAGTCTTCTGAGGAGAGTTTTGTTATTTTTGTTTTTAGTGAAGTTCGGGTCCTAGTATGAGTCTTATTTATTTTCTATTTAAACAGATGATTGTAAACGCTAGAGGCATAACTTTTCGTTAATAAAATTTCGCTTTTAATATTTTTTTATCGTGGATTCGGAGATCGTTCTTTGTAGATTCAAATAGCACATCCTTAGTAAATTCCGAAGTGAAACATTCCGAAGTTTTTCACTTCCACGGTGCGATAGATGCGATAGATTACAAGTCGATGGGAAATGATTTGCTTGCAAAGGTCAATCCTGTTGTTAAGGCTGATATGTCGGAGAGAGTTCAATTAGGTTTTTGGCGCGATACACAATTTTTTCTCTTGTTTTTTTCTTTTTTCTTTTTTCATGTAGTGCATCAGGATAATTATGTGGGATTTCAGAAAAAGAAGGCATCTGTCAAGTTTCATAGCCTTGAGAATTCATAAAAGGATTAAAAAATTTTAGCAGGTTGGAAAGGCAAATTTTGCAATTTTTGTCTGTTTTTCCCCCTTACAAGTTCTGCCTGATTAGAAACAGAACATTACTCATACAAAGCTCAGTAGTTACATAAAACATGGAAAAAGACTGAACATGCATCATTGACATGAGTCACTCCTCGGTCTCATGTCCTCAAGGGGCACAATAACTCGGTAAAAAAAACTGTGCTTACATTATCCAGTCCCTAAACTTGTTCAGCTGCAGGAACCTCTTCTTGCTTGACAATCCAATCCTTAGCAGCAGCAAGATCAGGCAAAACTGGAGCTCCAGAATTTCTCCAGCTCTCTGCATCCGGAGTCTTAAACCGATCCAGCAAGAGTGCGTGCATTCCGATGCTTCGAGCTGGGAGATAATCTTTTCTCATACTGTCTCCAATGTGCAGTGATTCTTCTGGTGCTATGTTTCCTGCCATTTCTAATGCAATTTTATATATTTTTGGATCTGGTTTTTCGATACCTATGATGCCTGAGAACACGCCAAAGTCCCACTCGGATCCCTGAAATTATAGCAAATTGGCTTTATATATGATCAATCGGTTGGAATTATGTTTTGATAAGATGTTCATATTTGATCAGATATTGCACTTCTAGTTAGCAAACAGGATGTAAGCTGTTAACCTTGCTATGTAAATTGGAGGTTTAACTTTAAAATTAAAAATTAAAAAAAGTTCACAGGACCAGATTTTGCACCTTCAGAAATTTTTTGTTTAATATTTACCTGCACACCTGAAAGTAAAATAGAAAGCCCTTTGTAATGTATGTATGTTTTAGACAGCAATTCAGTGCTTCAGTTCTTACGTACTGAATGTTTCCTTACATAGAGTTTAGATGTATGGTACAAATCCGAAAGCAGTGATAGTCATCTTAAAAGGTTATAACTTTCCAAAGAGGTACCTAGATACTGAATTCAATTTTAAGGTCATTCTGGGTCCAAACATCTAAAAGCCAAAGGGAAATTAGAAATATTTGAAGTGTAAGTTCCTAAGCTTAGTTGATTTTATATCAGTACTACATAAGAAGATTAGCCATTTTCAGAGCAATTAAAATATATTCCATGATTTTTATGCACACACTCGAAGAATTAATTCTCCAAGAGAGTACTAATAATGATTGTATAGTAGGAAGATAATATACCACCAGACAGTCAATTTGAGTGACATACGGAAATAGAGAATTCAGCCTAAAGCTTAGTAAAACAGTGCAGGAGTCAAGTACAGCATAAACTGGCCCATTAACTCACCTTATTCAATCCCAAGGCAGGAAGAATAACATCTTGGTACCGATACTCTGCATTGCTGACAATTCCAACAATGAGACCCTTTTCACGAGCCCATCTCAAAAATGGCTGTGAATCAGGAAACACAGAATAGGGAGCAGCGGAACCAAAAGATGAGTAAATGCGTCTGAATACCTTCTCAAATGTTTCATCATCATAATTGTAACCTGCCTGAATCAATTTAATAATGAAATCAAAGAGTAGGAATATTATATGTAAGAAACTACAAATCAACTAATTCATATAATGGTATATGGAACAAAGTTTATAGTGAAATGCCCTAAGAAGAAACCGAAATCTAGGACCGAGAGACTAATCATTTAGTGAGTGGAGTTCTATAAGAGATTTGAAAATTACGTATTGATGAGTTGAAGTAAATTTATTGCCTAATATTGTTAGGTCACCAAACTGTAATACATTAAATTCGCCTCCTGTAAGTTGCAAATGAAGACCAGGTTATGATGGTATATAGTAGGAAACAATGGAATACAGATCCATGGTTTCTTCCTTTTTTTTTCCCTGCATCCAGGTTTTCCACACACTTAATTTTTTCTTGATGAACAAGTATATCCTTAACAGAATGCAATATGTACATCCTATAATTCTATTTAAAGTTGATTTACTATTATTGTAAGAGGTACCTCCTGCAATATATACCTCTTACAATTCTTGAGTAAATGCATTTGATTTACTGTTGTTGGCTTATAAAGTGTCAGTTACGTGCATAGCTAAAACGTGTCATATTTGTTTTGCACTTTAATATACATGCATGCTCTCGTGTATAAAGGCACACATACACTTAAAATAAAAAATAAAAAATCATTTATAACCTTGTCCATACATAACGCGAGATGTTGTTTTAGGCTAACTGAAGATATTAATGCACTATCGTCGCACAACAATTAACATAAATGGGTTATCTACTTAGTTTTTTAAATACCCTAGAAGAAGATCCAAAGCTTTATCTTTCAGGTCCTTCATAATGTTCCCATGATGATGTACTTATGGAGATAATCTCATTTATCATGAATATACTGATTATATCATTTGATGACTTACTTAAGATGCATAGAGGATACGATAACCAAATGCTATATAGGCTCAGTGGGTGTCTTTGACCAAATTATGTGCAGTAAACCATAGAATCCAAGGGCATGCGAATTTTCTTTAACCAAATTACTTCAGATTATTAAGCCAAGACTTATATGCTTACCTTAATAAAAGAATCCTTGACGCAGCTTCTCCACCAATCAATATTAGGAATCTTTGCTGCATGTCCAAAACAAGGGTAGCGCTTTGCCATGTTGGTGTATGCATCTTTGAATGCCTCGTGCATTCGTTTATAGTCAGGGCAAGGCAACCCCACTGACTTAGCTGCCATGCAGTAGTAATCTCCAAGCTCTCCTTTATAGGCTATCAGAGTTCCCGTCACATCGACAGTGATACATTTTAACTTTGACAAGAGAGACATTCTGGTAATTTTGTAGATTATATATAACTGCTTCTTCAAATTCAATTCGAGATGTGTCGATGGTGCAAATCTGTCATGTCACTAGGAGAAATTTCTTTTTAGCATGCATAAAAAATGAACAAATATGTTATTGAAGCAACAAAGTTGCAGATACAATCTTAAAGAAAAGACTACGAGAGAACTTTTAGCTTCCTTAATGATCAACGACTACTAGATCAGATAATGGGAAATAAAATCAAGAGGATCAAGAAGGAGATGTTTCATAAATGATAAGGGCGGGAGATAAGGAATCCCTGCCTACCTGCCTCCTCTATCTCTTTTTATGGTTAATGTGATGCTGAAACAAAGAAGATTTTACCATTTATTAGTCTATGTTGGATTACAATTTCTTCGGGTCATTCTGTTTTCTACTCTATCTATTAGCTTATATGATTTAAGCAAATTTATGGGATTCCAAATCTCAGACAAAACAAGGAAATGAACACTCTTAAATGTTTTTATTGGGTAACATGAGATGAGTGATGGTTGCTTTTAAGGATTTTTCAGTTTTGGTCTCCTTTTCATACACAAGTCAATCTTTTTATATCATCATCCTTATGTATGTAAATCTGACCATTGAATGGGGATTCATTCGTCAGAAACAAAGTGGTGTTTGCTTAAGTTTCATTTGGTCTGTCCGAATGACGTAGAGAAGGCAAAAAAACACAGAAGAACTCCATAAAGAAAACACTTAAAAGAAACCCCTTAATATGTAGACTTATCAAAATAGGCATGGTTGTCCTGTTTAAAGAAGAGAACAAATCGACTCCTCGACCGGAAGGAACTCCTTTGTTCATTAATAGAAAGAAAACAAACAATTTAAGGGATCATGGATAAATGATTAAAAATCATTAGGATTACACAATATGGCATTTGCAACAGGAAGTATGTGGATTAAAATATCAGGGACTATTATTAGCGAAGACAATTTTTAAACATGCCATATTTCCATCTAATGCCATCAATCTCGAACTATTCAACAAACGATCAGGTATGGCTCAATGACATTAGAGTTAGAAAGCCATGAAAATTTGTCAAGCCCACTAACCAGACAGTTAGTATATCAAGTTCTATGCTTTCTGCAACCTAAAATTTTTTAAGCTTCAGAACTATTTTTTCAGTATCAGAATATTTAAATTTATATACCGGGGGAAAAATGAATCATTTTTAATTTCAGAACTACTTTACCAACATCCAATCAAAAAAAAAAAAGATTTTTTTTCCAACAATTTTTTTTAAAGCTCCCACCTATCCAAAATAAGCTCATCTGCTGCCAATTTATTGGTTCAATCAAATCCTAATCTAATCAACACCCAGTCACTGACCATGGGTAATGGATCAAAACATGCTGGATCTCCATCAAAAATATGCATCAAAAACATCAAATTTGGATCTAAAAAAAACCCATATGGCCCATCAAAACCCCAAACCGAATCACATACCCAGTGAAAATAAAACAAAACCCAGATGAAATCTGATCAGTACCTTGTAATCTAGCCCAATTAGAGAGAACCCAGAAGAAAAAAAATTCCTCCTTTTTTCTACGGTTGCATTGGAGTGAGGGGAAGCTAATAGAAGGGTGAGAGACTTGAAGGAGAAGAGGAGAGCATTAAGTAACCTGCAGCAGAAGTAAGGATCTTTGAGCTCGAGCTCATGGTTTTCGTGCAAATTTCTCTTTTTTCCACAAGAGTGAATAAACGTGGCGAGGATAAATCCGACGGCAACAAGCACCTGGTTTTGGCTAAAGTCGCATCGGTTTCGGGACGTCGACCAACCGAAACCCGAAACAAGTAATTCTTTACTGCTCCGCAATTTGTGAATGGTTTTTTTTTTTTCAAAATAAACCTGTTTTACTAAATATTTAGCAAAACAGACGGTTTTACTAAATATATAGTAAAATAGACCTTTTTTAACAGATTAAAAAGATATCGATTTTAAAAAACAGACCATTCGAAACATACGATACTACTAATCTCGTGTAAGATTAAATCATACGGGAGTACTAGTCTCGTATAATTTAATGGGGATTAAACCATGCTGGACTACTACTCCCGTATAATCCCCTGCTCATAGTCGCGTACAAGCCCCCTCCATCTCCTGCTCCCTCTCCGCCCCCTCCTACAAATCCCTTCCCCCTCCTCCATCTTCCTGCCCTCCCTCTCCCCCCCTCTTCCATCTCCCTCCGCCCCTCCGACATCAACAGCCCCAAATCCCCTCCCCCTCCTTCCTCTCCCTCACTTCTCCACATGAGCTCCTCTTTCAGCAGCTCCCCCCACACAACACCCACGTGAGCTCCTCTTTCAGCAGCTCCCCACACACGTGAGCAGTGTTGAGGGTTACAATTTGCTTGAAAGTGCAGAGGTCCGTGGCTTCGACGATGAGGGCGTCGATTTTTGAAGAGGAAGAGAGTGGGGAAGCCATGGGAGCTGGGAGTAAAGAGGAGGAGGAGGAGGATGAAGTTTTGTGTGTGTGGGGAGCTGATGAAAGAGGAGCTCATGGGTGAAGCAGGATGCGGAGGTGAAGCGGGGGATGGAGGGGTGGGGGGAGCTCTGGAGAATGAGGGAGAGGAAGGAGGGGGAGGGG